GTGATCTATTTTTCTTTGAACAAGACAGTTTTAATTTTACTATATTGACTATGTTTTAATTTTACTATATTGACTATGTTTTAATTTTACTATATTGACTAGAGGGCAATACCAGAGACTTTACAAAGATAGAATTTATTTTACAGGCCACAGGTCTAATGTGAGGTCACCCAACTCCAATTATGAATTGAGGATTATGATCAGACTGCAGGTGGTGTCTACAGACTTAGGAAAGCCCTTGTTACATCTGCTTTTGAAGAGCTTCTTTTATTATCTGAATCCCATACCTGGATTACATGGTGGCAACATCTATGTTTTGGTTCTTTACATGTCAATGTCAAACCAGACACTGTGTCCCACTGTCCTACTCTTTGAGTAGTCCTTTCTCTCAGGAAGTCCACCCAAGTACATGCCTATAGATTCAGTTAGGAATGGATCGGGAAGTTATCACAGTTAACACCTGCCCTCACATTCTATTATGGCTTCCTCCTAGGGAATCAATAACCTCTTCTCTTAGTGGGTTCTGGGTTTTAAATGAGTGTATATTTGTGTTCTAGACAAGAGATTCTGACTTCAGCACCCTTGATCTTCAGCATCCAATTTTTCATTCTTCAATTGCTTATTTGGTTAAGCAGAATAAACCCCAAGATAAGTATTCAAATGTTTTTGCTTTCATGCGATTGTTTCTAATATATTTTTTAATTTTTATTTTTTTTGTTGTGAAAATACTGTACAGAGGGGTTACAATTACATGGGCAAGATAATGAGTACCTTTCTTATCAAGCATTGTAGCCTCCTCCTTTGTTTCCCCTTCCCATCCCTTCCCATCCTCCCCCCGTCCCCCCTCATGTAAGAAAATTTGGTATTTCAATTTGTTCAATAAGAAGATATCAAAAATAAATGGGTTTCTTTTTAGCTTCTATCATTCTCCTTAAATTTATATTTAAACTTGATATGCACTTTATTTTTTTATTTTATTTTTTGTAGATTGTGGGGCCTAAACTCCGGGCCTTGGTGCTGTCCCTGAGCTCTTCAGCTCAAAGCTGGCACTCTACCACTTGTGCCATAGCACCTCTTCCAGCTCTTTCTGCTTATGTGGTGCTGAGGAATCAAACCCAGGGCCTCATGCATGCAAGGGAAGCACTCTACCACTGAGCTACCTTCCCAGCCCTTGATATGCACTTTGTAATGCTAAAGTTATAGCTTTTTCTGAATAAAGATTTTTTAAATGATTGTAAGTACAGCTAGTTGAGGAGAACAGGAAATAAAATATTTTCACCTGCTTTTAATTCATTTATCATTAAGTTTATGCTAAAGAAACTAATATGTGAGCATAAATGAAACAATTTAAACATTTCCACAATTTTGAAAAACTTTTCAGTATTATATAATTTAAAAGTCATCTACAAATACATATTTACATATCTTATAAAAATACATTGAGAAACTAAACTGGGAACATTCCTCTGAAGGTGAGCTGATATTATGTAAGGGCTTTGATTCCTTTATCTTTTTCAGGATATTCTTCCACGTCAGAGAATAAGAACTCTGCAGAAGAAAATGAAAAGATCACACTTAAAATGTTTTCCCAGTAACTCAAAAAGTTTCATAGCTTAGGTATAAACAGTCTCTCAATACTGACATAATTCATGGTAAAATAAAGCCCTCAAGTACAAAGGATTCTCGAAAGAGAAATCTGATTTATTGACACTTATGGAGGAGAGAATATTAAATGCTGAACATACCTAAATACATTGTGTCTGTGAATGATGATGCCAAAATAAAACTCACTGAAAGCTGCTGAATAGAGGATAGTGGGGATGGACAAAGAGAGAGTAAAGAGTCAACCTGATTAAAATGCTGTATATTCATGTGTGAAATACCACAGGAAAACCCCTTTGAGCAAGTAGCATACACTAAAAAGAAGGAAGGATAGGAATGTAAAACAGGTCCTCCCTGGAATGGGAGGACTTCTGGCATGGGCAAACAGAGAAGGTGAAGGGGGGTAAATACGGTCAAAATACTTCATGTACATGTTTGAAAATGGAACTATGAAGATTGTTGAGACTGGTTTGGGAAGAGAAAGGAGAAATGAGGAAGAGTGAAGGAGAGGTGAGTCTGATCTAGATGCTAGTAAAAATGTTAAATAACAAATGTACATGTTTCATATTATTAAATGTTTATTTTAAATTTGTCATGAACCGGGTATAGGTGGCGCATGCCTGTAATCCTAACTACTCAGGAGGCTGAGATCTGAGGATCACAGTTCAAAGCCAGCCCAGACAGGAAAGTCCATGAGATACTTATCTCCAATAAACAATCAGAAAATTGGGAGTGGTGCTGTGGCTCAAGTGGTAGAGTGCTAGCCTTGAGCTAAAGAGCTGAGGGACAGCACCTAGGTCCAGAGTTCAAGCCCCACAACCAAAAAAAAAAAATTGTCATGAACTCCTGAAAAACACAATGTAAGAATTTTTACAAGGATATTTGTCACTTAGAGAAACTAGAATTATTAAATAGCTACAAGATCTAATTCAATGATTAAATAATCTAAAATAGGAGAAGCCATACTTCCGGTGGCTCACTCCTCTAACTACTCAGGAGTCGTTTTCTAGACTCCAGCTCTTCAGGCTCTCCTTCCTGCTTCTCCTGTCAGTCTGTTATTCCACTTTACTTTTTCTGTTCTTTTATCATTTTCTCTTAAATCTGTCTGTTATTGGAAGATTTATTTTTAAAAACTCATTAAAGAAGACTCCAGGATATTCTTATACTTTTTCTTTAATACCTTCACTAAGATCCATGCTTGGCCTGTAAGACAAGAAAAGCCAAGATAATCCAACCAGAAGGGCCACCACCAGATTCACCACAATCCATGGCTGAAGAATCTGTTCCTCCTTTCCTGGTTTCCTGGAGATACAGAAGTATTTGTTAGAAATGCTTTCATTTTGGTTTATATTTCCAAATGCAGCTATTTTAGGAACTCTGAAAAAAAAACAGCATCATTATCTTAGAAACATAGAAGTATGAAATAAAATGTAATTTCCCTAAAAAATATACTGTATACCATAAAAAAATAAAGGTTCACAGGTTGTTTAAGCTATAAGCAGACATTGACTCTGTGCAATGACACAAATGGAATGTTAGTGCTCCTAAAAAATTTTCCTGGAAGATTCCCTTCCAACCTCCATGGCAATATTCTTTTTCTTCTTCTTTTTTTTTTTTTGTCGGTCGTGGGGCTTGAGCTCTGGGCTTGGGCGCCATCCCTCAGCTCTTCAGCTCAAGGCGAGCACTCTACTGCTTGAGCCACAGTGCCACTTCCGGTTTTCCAGTGGTTTATTGGAGATAAGAGTCTCACGGACTCGTGCCTGGGCTGGCTTTGAACCTCGATCCTCAGATCTCAGCCTCCTGAGCAGCTAGGATTACAGGCGTGAGCCACCGGCACCTGGCCATGGCAATGTTCTCTAACTGAGCATTTTTCTTGTCTCCTTTAATCCTATTACTATACTTATTAGAGCATACTTACATACCCATACTTTTGAGAGCAAAAGAGACTTCCCTAGGAGTTTTAAACTCGAATTTGAGCTATGCATCAGCTTCATGTTTGTTCTCTGATCTGTAAAATGCTGAATTTTTCTATTCTCCTCTTATTAACACTTCTTGATTTTCTGACTCTATCACAACCACCCTCATCCCTTGCCATTCTGGGGCATTAGGTTCTTTGACTGAAGGTAAGGCTATAAAGCTACTCCCATTTGTTACATGGAAACTTATTTTAAAGACTGAAAATGTATTTTTAACAAGAAGCCATCTCAATAGAAATGTAGGTATAAATAACAGCAATTATCCACTAATCACAGAAATAGGTCGTTTCTTTCCAGTTTTTCTTTTTTTTTGCAGGTGGGAGGAGGAAGAATAACATGGTCTTCATCATTTTTTATAGATGAAAACACAGAGCAGAGAAGAATGGAGGGAACAGAAAACTAGTTATTACCATTACATAATAGTTATTACAACTGCTAAAATTACTATAAATTCTTACCAGAGGCTGCCGTTAGCAGAAGGGGATGTGTAAAGGTGGATTCTGTCACTTGTTGTTTGTTGACTCAGAGACAGTGTAAGAGCAGTAAAGTACACTGAAAAAGACAAATGAAATTACTGATAGTTTGGGGGGTTTTTTGTTTGTTTTGTCAGCTGTGTGGGCTGACCCCTGGACCTGGGTGCTGTTACACATTTCAGCTCAAGGCTAGAGCCCTACCAACTGAGCCACAGCACCACTTCCCGCTTTTTTCTGTTTATGTGGTGCTGAGGAATCGAACCCAGGGCCTCATGCATGTGAGGAAAGCACTCTACCAAACCTGGGTTATCTTGAACATATAGATTAAGAAAGATAATCTTTACTTCAGTGAATGATGAAAGTAAATGATAAAACAAAAGAAATTCATTTGACCAATTTCAAGAACATAAGTAAGGTATCTTTTAGATGTTCAATATTTTATCAGGACTGACAAGAACCTAGAAAATCATTTAAGAAATTAAATGACTTGCTCAGTCTTAAAATTAGTTTCATTAATATTCTCATAACTTGGAACCAAATGTACTTTAAGTAATAAAAGATATAAATAGTGCCTGATATTGAAAGGTTGTAATAGCTTTACCAGCCAAATGCCAAATAGGAAATATAAATACTAGAGGAGGCGTGGCTCAAGTGGCAGATCCCCAGACTGGCACAAAAAAAGCTTATGCAAGAGCATGAGTTCAAAGTCCTGGTACCAGCACAAAATGAAAGTAGTTTAATGAAAATACTAATGCTAAAAATTATGTGATACAGAACAACAAACCCAACTTTTTAAATGTATTAACTTAGTGGTGCTAGGGATTGAACCCAGGGCCTAAAGTGCAAACTCAACTTTTCTTTTTCATTTCTTTTTGTCAGTACTAGTTTCAGAGCCTTGAACTTTCTAGGCATACAATCTCCCACTACTTGAGCCACATCTCCAATCTCCAAAGTAAACTTTTACTTAAAGACCTAATGAAAAATAATTCTATTAAAATTATGTCTACCATATTTTAACTATAAATTCATATACTATAAATGATTTATAGGAAACAATAATTTAAAATTTTCTTAAAACTATAGTTTCCCTGATTCTAAATTACAGTGTAATTCAAGTATTACATAGTTATCAAATGAAACTAAAAAAAAATTCACTATTACTTACAGAAAGATGCTAGAGCTGTTGGATCCAAGGCCAAAAACTTTCGGATTGCCATTGATGTTTTAGCAAAGTCAATCCTAGAAAATATAAAAGCTTCTTGTTGTAAATTTCTTTAAAAAAAACCAAAACTTTGCTTTCTTGCTTACAGTTTTTCCCTTCTCTGTTCTACCATATGTCTAATATTTTGGTTATTTACTTACTCATTTTGGCAGTACTAGGGATTGAACTCAGGGCCTCATAATTTGTAGGTAGGCACTATATCCCTTGGCCATGTCTCTAGCTGCTTACCAAATGTCTATTACCAGGCTCCAAGTAAGCTTTGGTTTGAACAACATGAAAGCCTAGTTGTTTATTGGGGCTACCTAAAATATTTAACTAGAGGATCACTTTAGGCAACATTTCTTGGTGTTAAGATATCCTAAAGGAAGAAACTAAAATTAGCTTCTACTTCTTTTTTTATTAACCTATCATTAGATTATAAATAGGTGGGTTTTCCTAATGAGTCAAACTGTGTTCCCCCAAAATATAAGTCTGTAACATCTGGTTTATTTGACAACAGGAGCTTTATAGATAATAAAGCAAAGGTAAGTCTACACTAATCCAGAGACTAACTTCTTTTTTTAAAAAAGTCACATAATATTAATATGCTACAATTCTGTTTTAAAAACTGTCATAATCATGTTTTGCTCAATATGTCTACCTTAAGAAATGTTAGAAGACTCTCAAATCACCAGTCTTACCTGTCAAAAACTGAAACTGTACTTAGAGACAAAAGCAAGTAGAGAACACTCTGGAACGGATATGCAAAAGTCTTGTATTGCTCCAAAAGGTTGGGTAGGTCAGACAGCTGATCTCCTCCTGCTAGAACATAGATCACAACAGTATTCCACACAGCACAGCCAGCCAAGAAGCCATGAGAAAAGAGGCCAATCATCCTGCATGGAAAAGCGTTTGATTATCTATCAATGACTTAAAATACAAGGCTAAAATATTCTTAAAATCTCTTTGCATCTAAGAATAAAAACCAACCTATTATGAAAAGTAAAAAACAAGTCTATGTTTTGTTCTTTCTTTTTCAGTACCAAGGATTTAACCCCAAACCTCAAGCATACTAGGTACCGCTGAGGTAGACCTCCAGTCTCAAGCCTCTACTTTTTATTTACAGATAGGCAAATCATTTAATTCTAATGGAGTATTTTAAAATGCATAGCTATACAGCATAGGAAGCTGTTAAGTTTTGTTTATTGTATAAAGAACCAAGACTTTTTAAAAAATGAAATTTAGTTAACATTTATTTTAAGTAAAGTCCAACTGAGGCAGCCACCTGAAAGCTCGGTGCACTGAGAATGCCACATCTCTGGTGGTCCAGGAAGGCTTCGTGTCCATTGACACAGTGATGTTTTCTGTGGTCTTTACCAACTGTGAACGATCAGCAGCCTGAAACCGTCCTGAGAACACATAACTCAATTACTAACGACTAACAAGAGAGAACTCATTATCCCACACTCCTAAGATTTAATGTGGCTGTTTTTCTATCTAAAAGTTTTCCTGGACTCAGTGTTTCCTTTTTTCCATTTCTTTTGTTGTTGCTTTTAAACATACCATTTCTTCATATTAAAAAAATAAAAAGTAATACCAATGCAGTTTCTTAACCAAACTGGTATTAGACAAATTTTAGATTCAATTTTATTTAATAATATACAATAATGAAATTTTCAACTCAGAATAAAGCCTAAAAAACTTATTTATGTCATCATCTGCAAAACTCTAGAGACTTCAGGAGTATTAGCACTATAATGCCTACATTACCAAGGTAAGCCAACATTTGAAAACTACTTCAAAATTCTTAGGAAAAGATTCTAAGGGTATGTAGCCGGCTTTCTATGACAGAAAATAACTGGGTTGTTTCAAAGGCTTCTCTTTGAGGTCTATATAAAAACTACCAGTTCAAGTATCAGCCTTAGAACACTGTGAGCAGGGCATTATCAATTTAACAGATGTAGTCGTAGATAGACTTCAGGAAGCAGAAAACAAACCTTCTTCTCAACCACCCTTGCTAAACCTGGTGCTCATATGTTTGGGTAATAAAAGAATAAATAATTTTCCCTAGAGGAGAAAAACACTTTCTAAATAGACAACAGAACCACTAGTGCTTTTTATGGTCAGTTAACTTGAGTAGGGAATTTTCGGTACTAAGGAAAGGGAGAATAATAAAAGGAGGATTGCGGGGCACTGCTTGGAAAAACTGGAATAAATTAAATAGCCACATGGTATACCAGTAAAGGCAGTTGACTAGAGGTCATAAAACTCAAATGCAACTCCTAGTTCTACACTAACTCACTGTGAGATGCTGGGTAAGTCATTGGCTTCTCCAGCCTGCAGGCTTCTCAATGGCCAAAACGCTAAGATCCCTTACACAGGATCTTATGGACTCAGAATTCTAAAATGATTTATACAAAATCTATGTTGCAAATTTTAAGGACTAGCCTTTTATTTCAGTGTTCTTTATGCAATACAGTCATAGCACATCCGTGGGAGTAGGAGTTGGTAATGGTCATGCTTTAGGTACGTTTTCATTAAATACTATGTTATGAATTGAATGTAAACTCTCAAATTATGTTGAAGCTCTTTCCTCAGTGTGATGGTATTTGGAGGAGGTGCCACTGGAGGACAATTAGCAAGCTCCTGTGAATTTGAGATTTGTGTTCTGGCTGTGGTGGCTCATGCCTACTATCTTAGCTATAAGGGAGGCAGATACCAGGAGTTCCAGGCAGATACCAGATCACAGTTCAAAGTCAGGCTTGGCAAAAAGTTTACAAGTATCCATCCATTTCAACCACTAGAAGTTGGGCATGTCATGTTGACTACGTAGGATGTATAAATAGGAGGATCACAATGCAGGATGACCTGTTTCAAAAGTAATTCTAACCAAAGTAAAAGGGGCTGGAGTGTGTGACAAGTGGCAGAGCCATAAACTAAAACTCCTTAGTACTGCTTGAGAGAAATATGTTGTGTGAAAATAATGTGAGCAGAGCATTCCTCTTTACTGTTGACTAGGAAGGTCCTCATATGGGTAGTAATAGCAGATTTACCTCAGGAAATAGGAAAGGTTCCATTTCCTTTCAAAAGGGTTCCATCTACAAGTCAAGAAGAGTCATCAAGACCTAAATCTGTCAGTACTCCATCTTAGACTTCTCCATTTCCAGAACTATGAGGAATAAATGTTTTCTGCTTAAACAGTTACTTCATGGTATTTGGTTCTAACAGCCTAAGCTAAAACAAATTGCAAATCCAGCCTTAGAAGCAGTATTGCTATGCGTTATCAGAAGTATTTTCTGAGCTGGGAGCAATGGCTCATACCTGTAATCCCAGCTTCTCAAGATACTGAGATCTGGAGGACTGAAACTCAAAGCCAACCCAAGCAAAAAAGTCTACAAAATTCTGCCTGTGAAGACTCAGAGTCTATGTTGAAGGGGCAGAATGATGCAGGCTCCGGCCTCAGGATTATCTGAGGACTGTGTTTGTGTATGTGGAAAGCTCTTGGCATGCCGGGCTAGAGAGGGAACATGTTCTCTCTCCCTATCTCAAAACACATGTCACAGACCCCTGGGAGCTGAGGAAGTAGCTCTTCTGCTTGCTTAAGCATAGATGAACAGCTGAACAAGCATTTTCCTGAGATTGGAGAAGTGGTTTGAGCTTGCTCTAAAATAGTTTAGATAATAATATACCAAGACATTGTCTCATAGGTTAAGTAAAAATGTATCTGTTGAAAGTCTTTGTGTGAATGTCTCCTGACTAAATCTTGGCAAAGATCATGCTTGCTTGTCTTTAAATACCCCCTAACAATAAAGCACAGCATGCAGTGGCAATTGCTGTTTGCACTCTGCATCCTGTGTCCTGGTGATTTCGTGACCCTTACCCAGGGACCCCAACGCACTAGACGTTGACACTGCCTCCAAAAAAATAGAAAGAAAGCAGGGCTCGAAGTGTAGTTCAAGTAGTAAAACACCAGTCTAGCAAGCAAACAAAGTATGCACAAGGTCTGAGTTCAAACCCCAGTACAGTCAAAAATTTTTTTTTCCAAAGTTATTTATAATGTAATTGTAATAATATATTTCTTTATCTTTCTCCTTTCTTTCCCTTTTTTCTCTTTCTGGTGGTGTGGAACAAGTACTCTTCCAGTTGGCTAGGTCCCCAGCCCTGTACTTCTTATTTAAAATGGTAGTACAATGATGTATTTTTTCTTTTAGTGATACTCACAGAATTTATATCATTCCTGCCGTTTCACTACAACCGCTACCAACCCCAAAACGCTGGCCAAGCACATCAAAATACAAAGACATGAACATGCCTAAGGGAGGATTTAAAAATTATCCATAATTCCATAACTGAGAGCCAGCCAGGCTTGAGTCTTTCAAATATTTTCTCAATCTCAGGCAATTTTCTACTGTTAGAATCAAACTGTGTGTGTGTGTGTGTGTATGTTTTATTATTAGACTTTCCATTAAACGAAAAATTGTCCCTCACATTAAGTAGTATAGAGTTTTTTATTATATTATAAACCCTAACTTTCTGAAGTTATCCCCCTCTTATTGTACAATTAGGTTGTTTCCAGGTTTTACCAGCTTTTTGTAATGACCAGCTTTGTGCACACATTTTTGCCAACATTTTTCTATTATTTCCAATTCAGCTTGCCAGAAATATAATAACAAGTCAAAAGATATTTGCAAAATTTATCCTTTATAAATTATCCCTGTATGATATTTAAAGAGATCATGTTCCACAAGAAGAAATGACTTACGGCTTTTTTCCACAAATACTTTGCCTACAGGCTGGCTAATTCCAGTGGGTGCAGTGAATCTAGACAGTTGTTCTGGAGTGCTTTGCTCATCAGTAATTATGTCTTCATCTTCTACTCCAAGCTCATTGACATACTGTAACTCAACTGGCTGGGTTTTCCTGAAATCAGGGAAAAACATAAGAAAAATGGATAATACTTGAATGTTTACAAATCTGCATAGGCAACTAAGAATATAATGAACAGACAGACTTGGAGTGAAAAAAGAAGATTTATGTATTTATTTTTAACTGTAATGTGTTCCAAGTTACCTCTCTTAGTGTATCTTAATTTTCTTGCCTAAAAAATGCTCTGACTAAACTAGATTTTTCCAGATATAAAACGGTAGGATTCTGTTCATTGGATTATTTTCAGATATAAAAACTATAATTTGGGGCTGGGGGTTTAGCCCAGCGGAAGGGTGCCCGCCTGGCACGTGCAAGGCCCTGGGTTCGGTTCTCAGCCCTGGTTAAAAAAACAAAACAAAACAAAAGTATAATTTCCCAGGGGTATTTCTGTTTATTCCATTTTATCTGAGACTTAATTTCTTATGCTAAAACATAATAGTTTTAGTTACTGATGAACTAATCATTGAATTCTGTTAACATAAGGAAATAGATTGTAATAGCCTATGTTATTATTTTTTAGCTATCATTACCTTGAATAGCTAATATTTTGCTATTTATATAATTAATATTTTGCTTACTTTACATTATTTTTTAAGATCGCTCCTTAGGATTCTTGTTTACATACATTTTTTTTTCAAATTTATCATCACATTGGTTACTTTTTGTCTTTGGTGCTGGTATTGGGGCTTGAACTCAGGATATCATGCTCTTAAGTTTTTTTCTCACTTAAGGCTGGTGCTCTACCACTTAAACCACAGCTCTACTTCCAACTTTAGTGGTTAATTGAAGTTTAAAAGAGTCTCATGGATTTTCCTGCCTAGGCTGGCTTCAAACCATGATTCACAGATCTCAGCCCCTGAGCAACTAGAGTTACAGGTGAGAGACACCAGCACCCAGCTTAATTGTTATTTTGTATTGCTATTTATCCTAGTATTTATTATTTCATGATGTAAGTATTTAATACAACCTAAGAGAAGCTACCATTAGAAGTTCTAAATTAAACATAAGAGTAATTTTGGAAAAAAATAGAAGGATAAATAAAATATTACTTGGTCTTCCTTCGAGGCTTTTGAATAACTGCTTCCTCAGCTGGCTCCACATCAACACCATTTTCATTTCGTAAAGATGGGCTAGATGTCTTCTTTTGTGTAAAGGAAGTTTCCAATTCTAAAAATAAAATGATGTTTTCAGATGACAATACAAAAGTAATATACAAGACTCTTATAAGACAAGAGAACTTTAAGAATCTTAACTAGGACAATTTTTTTCCACTATCCACAGATAATATTAAGTTTGCAAATTTTATATCCAACATGTCAGTCAAAATTACTAACACAAACTATGGAAAAATATTCAGTAACTAAAAATATTAAGTATTAAGGTAAATTACATCCAGGTTTGGAGATTTGCTAGGACTTACAAGTCATTATACTCAGTTGCAGTTTAAAAATCAGCAAAAGGAAACAGCAGATGGACCAAATTCTAGTTGAAACCAGATACAAGATTCCAATAGTCCTCTGTCAATGGAGTCAAACCAGATGTCCTACTTAGTGCAGCAATGAGTTGTGATGACACATGGATACATCCTCTATCAGGGAAGTGACTAGTGACTCAGCACTCAAGGTTTTTATTAGTAGCTCATCACAGAGGTCTAGCACATACCAAAAGTCCAAACTCCTGAAGAAAGCAAGTGTTCAATATAATTGCACAAACACAGTACGCCTTTCTTGTAATTTGGCAAACATTTTATACCAGGGACCTACATTTCCTATCCCAAGTTCCCAAGCACTAGTTAAAGGCCAGTCTCACAAACAGGTCTTTCTAATTATGGCTCTTTTCTGTACCCAAGATAGGCACTAAGTTTAAGCAAGTCAACAGAACCTGCTAACCTGTTACCTACTCTTTTTACCTCTGGCTCCCTGGAATGCCTTCAAGCCCTTTGAATTCTATTTTAACAAAATACTTACAGCCTGGGCTGGAAAAATCATACAAGTACCACTACCTATCATGGCCACTCTAAGCAAAACAAAATACAAATCAGTATTAAAATCCTAAAAATCTGACAAATTGGACCTGCCACACTCAGTGCACTTGGAAGAGGCAGTGACAGGTTCCTAGGTACACTTATGCTCAAAACTTAGCTAGGTTCTCAATGCTAAAGCCATTTCTGTATACTTTTGCCACAAATTATAAAACTAGGTGTTAGTTTTTAAATTAATATCCTAATTGAAATACTAAGTTTTCATTAGACTATATTTAGTACCAGTAATGAAGGAAACCATTTCTCTGGAGGGGAGCTCAGATGAGTACAGCCCGTCCCTTTGTCTGCTCTTGCCTTCTCCCCCACTGTGCCCGGGCATTGGGTCATCCCACTTCCATGCATCGCATCGGTGCTGCACTCTCCACTTTCCAATGTCTCCCTCCCCTCCTCCTCCAGGTACTCCATCCCATCAGGAGCTGCTATTTTCTAGAAGGACAAGGAGTTAGGTGGGGACACTAATGTGCATTAAATTATTCTACAGGGCTAATGGTAAGAGCTCCTTCCTTTTGTCTTACTCTAACATTTTTTCTTACCTTTTAAAATTGTTATTATAAAGGTGATGTACAGGGGGTTACAGTCACATCAGTCAGGTAAAGAGTATGTATCTTTTTGGACGATGTTACCATCTCTCTACTCACTCTCCCCATCCTCACTTTCCCTCCCATCCTCACCCACAAGTTGCATAGTTCATTTTCAACATAGTGTCCAGTAAGTATCATAGCTACATTTGTTCACCCTTTGTCCCTCCATTTCTGTGACTCCCCTTACACTCACAAAGACATATAAGTGAAAAAACAGAATAAGAAAGAAAGAAAAGAAAAACAGCAAAAAAGAAAAAAAAAGCTGTTTTCATTCCTTGGAGTTCATTTCAATAAATACTGTTTTGTATGATCAGATGCACACAGGCATTGTGCCTTTCTGTTCTTCTCCTAAGAGTATCTTTTCTAATTATTATAGTCACATATGAAAAATCAAGGAAGAAAATAATCATCCTTCCCTTCCTCATTCTAAAAAGAACGTACCATTATTAATATCACTACATGTCTCCTTTCTTTTTATTATGTATATGTAGGCATGAAGGTACACTCTAGGTAAAATTGTGCTAAAAAACGTTTAAGCCATAACTCTCAGTACCTATTAATATGCTTATTTGGAAATACCGTACAGAGGAGTTACAATTACTCGGGCAAGATAATGAGTACATTTCTTATCAAGCATTATTGCTTCCTCCTTTGTTTTAATATGCTTATTTGGAAAAGGGATCTTGGTAGATATAATCAATTTAAGAGGAGGATAGGCGGTTCAGGAAGGGTCCTAAATCCAATATCTGGTGTCCTTATGCGAAGAAGAAAATGTGGACAAATACAAACAGGAAGTAATGTAAAGACTGAACAAAGGAAGCATTATACAAGTCAAAAGGACACAGGATTATCCACAATCACCAGAAGCTAGACAACCCGAAGACTTATTCCCTACAGCCTTTGAAGGAAGCATTTAGACAGCTTAATCTTTGAACTTCTGTCCTCAGAACAATAAAGGAGTAAATTTCTGTCAAGTCACTCTGTTTATGGTAGTTTGTTCTGGCAGCCCTAGAAAATTATTAAAATATGTTTCACAAAAGTAGAACCATCATGACTTGGGGTGTTTGGCTCAAGGAGTACAGCATAGTACACAGGATATATAATACGTACACCAAAAAAAGATAGAGCTGGGCACTGGTTGCCCATACCTGTAATCCTAGCTACTCGAAAGGCTGAGATCTGAGGTTCACGGTTCAAAGCCAGCCCAAGTAGAAAAATCCATGAGACTCTTATCTCCAATTACCCACCAGAAAACCGGAAGTAGTGCTGTGGCTCAAGCAGTAGAGAATTCACCTTGAGCTGAAGAGCTCAGAGATAGCGCCCAAGCCCAGAGTTCAAACCCCATGATCGACAAAACAAAACAAAAAAGATAAGTATTTTGATTGCCTGTGAATAGTATCTGAGACACAGAAAGATTCAATGAATGTTGGCCAGTTTTTTAAATTATTGTTAGTAGAAATTCATCTTCTCTCCACTGTAATCTGAAATGTCCATTTCATTTGAATTTCAGTCCTAAATTTGCACCCCTCCTCTCATAATCTACAACGTATGGCCAAATGTAAAGTATATTCTTCTTGACTGAAGCCCCAAGGATTGCAGTGATAAATATAGAAAGGAAGGAAAAGAAGAGAGCAGGAGACCACTGATGACAAGAGGATGTTGGCAAGAGTAAACAGACCTCCAAAATTAAAACTGCTATCACAAGCTAACCTTGGTGTCTTCACATACCTGGAGGCGGCCTTGCCTTTTTCTGTCTCCTTTGCATGGGAGCCTCTGCATGCTCTTTGGATTCTTCAGTTGGTGTCTCACTGCCCTCAGATGGCCTGTGAACAACAGGCTCTGCAGACCCTTCCAAAGCATTCTCTACAAGAAAACCAAGTAGAAAAACATTGGCTAATGGGAACAGAGATCACTGAGCTTTAAAAACATGGGGGAAAAGATATCTACAATGTATCCTGCAGGAAACATGTCAGGATGTCAATCCTTATCTGTAACTCTGGACTTTAGATTAAGAACAGAGATAAATGTAATGATGGGTACAAATGGCTCAGGCCTATAATCCTAGCTACTCAGACAGTTCAGACTTGGAGGAAAAAGCTTCAAAGTCAGCTGAGACAGAAAAGAATATAATTATTAACTAGCAAAATTCTAAACTGGAAGCCTGACTCAAATGGAAGACAGTCATGAACAAGAAAGCTGACCAAGAGCACAGGCCCAGAATTCAAGCACCAGGACCAACATACACACATACACATGTATGCACACATACATGCACATCCCAAAGAAATGTGAGGATAGGGCTGGGAAGGTGGCTAAGTGGTAGAGTTGCTTGCCTTGCATGCATGAGGCCCTAGGTTCGATTCCTCAGCACCACATAAGCAGAAAAAGCCAGAAGTGGCACTGTGGCTCAAGTGGTAGAGCGCTAGCCTTGTGCTGAAGAGCTGATGGACAGCGCCCAGGCCCAGAGTTCAGGCTGACCCCCCCCCCAAAAAAAAAAGAAAGAAAGAAAGAAATGTGGGGATAAAAATAAGCCTGAGGGGGCTGGGAATGTGGCTTAGTAGTAGAGTGCTTGCTTAGCATGCATGAATGCATGAAGCCCTGGGCAATTCCCTAGTACCACAGAAACAGAAAAAGCCAGAAGTGGCACTGTGGCATTGAGCAAATGAAGCTCAGGGACAGTACCCAAGCCTGGAGTTTAAGCCACAGGACTGGCAATAATAGGAAGAAGAAGAAGAAGGAGAAGGAGAAGGAGAAGGAGAAGAAGAAGAAGACGACGACGACAGGAAACAAAAGAGGAAAGGGGTTGAAAAGAAAACCAACAGAAGGAAGAAAAACTGTTTCAGAACAATTAGAACTTAAAAACAAGTTTAAAAACTATAATAAAAATGACACCAAAGAGAACTCTCTTTATCTTCTGTCTTACATTAGCAGCCTCTGTAGTGTTCAGTGCTTCACTAATACCGTAATACACAACAGTCATCATGAATAATTAATTGAAGTTAGTAGATAACATTTTAAAGCAAATTTGAAGATTACCCTCCTCTTTTCTGGTGGTACTAGGGTATGAATTCAGGATTTCCCACATATTAGGGACGTAGCCTACTGCTTAAGCCATGTCTCCAGTACCTTTTCCACTGGTTATTTTAAGATAGAGTTTTGTTTTTTCTCCTGGCTAGTCTGAACCATGACATTCCCATCCCATTTATGATTCATATAGCTAGGATTATAGGAATGTACCACTATTGCCAGGTTTTTCTGTTGAGATGGGGTCTTGAGAACTTTTTTTGCCTGGTTGGCCTTGAACCAAGATCCTCCTAATCTCTACCAGGAGTGGCAAGGATTATAGGTCTGAGCCACTGGCTCCTGGTTTAAGATAACCTTTAAGGGCTGGGAAGGTAGCTCAGTGGTAGAGTGCTTGCCTTGCATGTATGAGGCCCTGGGTTTAATTCCTCAGCACCACATAAGCAGAAAAAGCCAGAAGTGGCACTGTGGCTCAAGTGGTAGAGCACTAGCCTTGAGCTCAAGAGCTGAGGGACAGCGCCCAGGCCCAGAGTTCAGGCCTCACGACCAACAACAACAACAACAAAAAAAGATTACCTTTAAAAACTTCAGCCAATACAGTACATATAGACTTATCTCTTTTGTGAAAGAGGAAAAAAAAAGCACCATTTTTGAAACTTTCAGTCTTCTGAGATTGAGAGGGTGAATAGTCAAGGAAAGCTAAAGGGAAGATATGAGATCAGCTAGTGGTGACTTTATGGTCAACCTAAATGCTAGGAAATGGTGAGTTTCATCAACAGAAAACTGTAAACAAGAAATAAAGATTGACTGTTGAGGGCTGGGAATGTGGCTTAGTGCTTGCCTAGAATGCATGACACCCTGGGTTGGATTCCTCGGTACCACATAAACAGAAAAGGCCGGAAGTAGCGCTGTGGCTCAAATAGTAGAGTGCTAGCTTTGAGCAAAAGAAGCTCAGGGATAGTGCTCAGGCCCTGAGTTCAAGCCCCAGGACTGGAAAAAAAAACTTGACTGTTGAAGATGGTGATAGATTCCATTGTGTTGAGCATAAGTCACCACTACAACATCCCAAATTATCAGCAGGTAACTAGAGCAAATTGAGTTTCTAGATTGTTCACTATTGAAGCTTTAAAACAAGGATGATATGGTTCTGCCTTCAAACTCCTGTTCTGCAAGAGTGGCACTATGGCTCAAGTGGTAGAGCACTCGCCTTGAGCTGAAGAGCTGAGGGACAGCGCCCAGGCCCAGAGTTCAAGCCCCACGACAGACAAAAAAACAAACAAAAAAACCCCCAAATTGCAGGGCTAGTGTCATGTTCTCTGCAAAGATTTTCTGCCTGAAATTAGAGATTTAAGAACTCTGTTTCTGTAAATCCAATATTCTCTTCAAGGGTCCCTACACACAGCTCAATTACAATGTCTAGGGATAAAAAACCTAGAAGAGGTTAAGACTCATGAGGTAATCAGAACTCAGATGGCACAATACATTATTCCATGAATGTTTCTAGGAACCTCCTGCGTTTCCCACTGCTTTGACCCTTGTTACTGATCCCAGTGTTTTGAACTTAATTGCTTAGTTCTATCCTCAACAGAAAACTGTGAATTGAGGCTGCTGGGGTCCTGTCTCCCTCCGGCCTATAATGCTTATCATGTGAAGTGCTGAAAAAACTTACAATCCCACACAACAAAGAACTTCTTACCCAGTGTGGTTTTTGTTCTGGACTTCTTTTTCTTAGGACGACTAAGTGGAATATCATCTATAAAATAGAAAGAACATCAACATAAAAGGCTGCCTAAAATTGAGTGCAAAGAACAAGTAGAACAAAACTTTCAAAATGGAAAACTTTTCTCCCTCTAACCTGGAGTCAGCCAAGGAAAGAAGGCAAGAAATTGACATGATCAGAGAACCCATAGTGGGGTACCAGCAGTAATGTTCATAAATGTGACACTAAAAGTTTGCTCAACAAGTGTTCAGCTAGTCCTCTACCCTTCCCAGCCCTTTAGTCTGTGAGCAGAAATGAACTGTACCTAACTGTGGCGATCATGCAGGCTCATCATCTTGCTGATCTCAGAAAGAAGGTAAGCAGGGTGAAGCCTGGTTAGTATTTGTATGAGAAGTGACACCTCACATGGGGACTAGAACACTTATAAAAACAGCTGCTGTGGCATCTGAAGCATCATTACTACATCATTGATGAAGAGGTAGTGAAAGGCAATTTCCTGTGAGTGTTGCCACAGAGGACCTCAAGGTTAACCTACAATTGTTACTAATACCTCTGTGCCATAGTAAGTCCCTGAGGTTTGGGGATAGTGTATGATAATATTACCTATCCTTACTAAATAAGAAAAAAAGAAAGTTCAGTCTCTATTGCAGAACTGTAAACTAGTCAATGGCTATGTTAAAAATTTTACTGTAAGAGAAACAAATTAAGGAAGCCAACTTGTTTTTGTTTGGGTTTTTTGTTTTCTTGGCAGGATATCAGTATGTTATCCAATCTAGTCATGAGCTCTGGGGTTCAAGCTATTTCCTGCCTCAGCCTCCCTACTAGTTGGGACCCTAAGTGTGTGTCACTGCACCAAACATTCAAACATTTTTTGAATATTAAATACTGTATCTTAAACATTTTTATGTTCACAGAAAATTAACTCACCTTGAATAGCACCACTTTATATGCCACCAACCAAATTCAATTAGCAGGAAAATGACACCAAAAGAAATAAAATGAAAGCTATTAATTAAATCTATTTTTCTGTTAAACATTTACAACTAACTTTTACACAGTGCCAAAGTTTACAAATAGCTATTATTTAAGTAGTTCAAACTGCTTAAGATCACTAATAAAGTAACCCAAGTATTTTTCTGAATGTACACATATTCTCTACTGTCTTTTGGTAGAGTAAGCAGATTAAGAAACCTTATTCATCTCTGTCATGGATTAAAATCAGCTTAAATACTGATGAAACTATTCTAACAAATAAAAGAGGATCAGAATCCTAAACACAAAGACAACAGAACATACAGAATAGAGCCATTATCCTATCATGTTGCTATTTGGGCTTCTCAATTAAAAACTTTCATTATAACTGCTATCCCCACAATTCAAGAAATCTTCTTTTTGCCTTAAAATGTTCAGGAAGCCTTTTCCTAAAAATTTCAGGAAGATTCTTGTGAACCATTATAATTTTTCAATGGTACTAGTAATTTTTTCACTGTACTAACTTTAACATTTTTAAATTTCAATAATGAAATCATTGTAATTATGTTACCGTGGCACAGGTGGAAGAGCTCGTGGAGGACGCTATAGGGTTAGGGAGAGAAAATTGAAAAGTGTAAGTAAAAGTTCAAAGCATCTTTTCTTTGTATATCTAAAAAAAAAATGCCTGCTGAGCTTGATGCTGGTGATTTACACCTATAATTCTAGCTACTCAAGAGATTGAGATCAGAAGATCGAGGTTCACTGTCAGCCTGGGCAGAAAAGTCCTTCTCTAAAACTACTATCAGAAAGCCAGGCTGGAGGTGGTATTGGCACCAGTCATAAGAAAGGCAAGGGACTGACTGCAAAGTCCTGAGTTCAAACCCCAGTGTGTATATGTGTGATGGGAAGAAGCCTGTTGATGAAACATGACAGAAAAAAATAATGGATCAGATGAATATCTTCAATTTGGGGTGGGGGTGAGGGGGGTGGGGGGGAGGTCGGTCGTGGCCTGGGCGCTGTCCCTTGAGCCACAGCGCCACTTCCGGTTTTCTGGTGGTTAATTGGAGGTAAGAGTCTCACGGAACTTTCCAGCCTGGGCTGCCTGTGAACTGCAATCCTCAGATATCAGCCTCCTGAGTAGCTAGGATTACAGGCGTGAGCCAATGCTGCCCAGCTTTCAAATGTTTTGATAACTGTGTTTATCAGAGGGTTCAGTAAGGTGATTTTACCAGCTCTACAATTTTATACAAAATCCTTTCCTTCTTACATTATTTGTCTACATAAGGCTCAGATGTAAGCATGAGGAACAGAAACAAAACAGAGATCACTGCTTTAATGTAGATTACATCCTAGTGGTTAAGTACTCAAAAACGTTAAATAGGTATAATAAAAATATGGGACGTATGTTGAAAGATGTTTCTGTGTTGTAAGTTATAGCTGACAGAGAATGAGAAGCATTTATTTAGGGAAAGTAATTTAGTTGAGCTGAGACTTGAATGAGAAAGGAGTCAACGTGTCGGGCAATGAGCAGATGCTAAGTAAGGGCGTTAGGGAACACTGGACTTGGAGTGCTCCTGGTAAGAGGAGGACAGCAAGGCTGAACACGGCCACTAAGGACATCTAGGCAGCACACAGATTAATTAGGGCCTTGCAGACCAAGGGAAGGAATGTGGATCTTGCTTCAAATAAGTGAAAAGCCAATTAAGTTTTTAAGACACATAGTAATACGCTTTAAAAAAAACAACAAAGTGATTTTAGGGGAGAACAGAGGCAAATAAAAACTCTTCCCTTACATAGCTGGCTCTCTGTAAGAAAGAAAAGTTGTGTTTGCAAATTTGGAGAACATTGTAATTAAGCATTCTGGAACTAAACTACTAACAAAAATGCTTAGAAGTCAATTTACCACTTCAAGTATCTTGCAGAAGGCACCGATTTATCAAAAGGATTAAAATTTAAATCCTCTTTAGGCTGTCCCACTTTCAGCAAATCTATTGCTTCACTTGGCAACCCAGCCATTCAAAAAGTAGATCGATACAAACGCCCCAGACACGGCAGAATGTCTCCCTACGTATAGGTGTATAACCAGTCAACACTAGGCCGGGAAGAGCATGACTGTCCCAGGGAAGCGCCACGATCCCCCGAACGCTGAGAAGGACACAGCCCACTGGGTTAAGTCTGCATTTCAAAGCTGCCGCAAAAACGACGCTGCACCCGCCCAGAAACCCAACCGCTAAGCCCCAAAGCGCCCACAGGCGCAGTTACCGCGGGCTTCTTTCCCCTTCCGTCTGGATCCAGCTCCCCGCTGGCCATCCCGACACACAGGCTCAGGGCGTCGCCCCCGGGACCGGGGGAAGGGGGAGACGGAAGAGAGCAGAGGGGGTGGAGGGACACCGGGACGGGCAGAGCCAGAGACCGAGGAGAGAGGGGAGAGAAAGTAGAGGAGAGGGGAGGGAGGGGGGAGAACGGAGGAGGGAGGGGGGAGAAGGGGAGGAGACGGGGGAGGGAGGGGGAGGGAGAGGGAGGAAGAGGGGTGGCGGGGTGGGGGGGGGGAAAAGGGGGCTGCCGCGCGTGCGCACTGCGTCATTGCGGGTGCCGGTGGCACGTCGCTGGAAGCTCCCGATGGGGAGGGACGGGGTAGCTGTTGGGGTGACGGAGGGAGGGAGGTTCCGAGGTCCGGTTTGTCTTATTCGAAGTAGCCCTGGGGGACAAAGGCCTCGGGATCCGAGCTGATGTGCTTAGGAGCAGACGTTCCAGAGTGGGGGCGGCAGCCACGGCCCCCCGGCTTTTCTGAGGGGCTGAAGTGATTGCACAGGGGCGGGCGAAGCCTGACAAGACTTTGAAAACCTCCGCCGGCAAGTGGCGCCCGGTCGGGGCAGTTAAAGCCCCCGGAGCTGCCGGAACCAGGGACTTCGCGGCAGCACCGAACCCGCCCCGCCCGCCGGACGGCGGAGCGGGGTCGTCATGGCAACGCGGACTCCGGCGTGGAGGAACTCCCCGCCCGGCCCCGGCGGCTCCGGGCTCGGGTCCCGGCCTTCCCGGCTCCCATTCCACCCCACAAAGGCTCGCGAACGTCCGCGGACCCCACTGGCAAGGCAGACGCTCCCACTCATCTCCGGCTCCTGGGCGTCGGTCCCGTCCCGCTCCCGCTCCAAGGGCAGCGGCGGCGGCGGCTGCGGCTGCGCGTCTCCCCACGACTCCGACGAGCCTCACCGGGTGGCCGTCCCCCAGCGGAGGCCACGAGTCTGCTCTCATGGCGCCCGCCGGGGTCGGAGCTCAGCACGCCGCAATGCTGCGCCTTCCCGGGCCTGCAGGACTCGGGGGCGGTGTGGCGCCGCGCGAACGGAGGAACCCCAGGCCTCGCCGGACCCCGCCCCGCCTGCGCGCGGCCTCCGCCCCCAGCCCGGCCCCGCCTCCGTTCGGGCTCCGCCCCCAGCCCGGCCACGCCTCCGCTCGGACTCCGCCCCTAGCCCGATCCCCGGCCCCGCCTCCGTTCGGGCTCCGCTCCTAGCCTGATTCCCGGCCCCGCCTCCGCCTGCGCGCGGCCTCCGCCCCCAGCCCAGCCCCGCCTCCGTTCGGGCTCCGCTCCTAGCCTGATTCCCGGCCCCGCCTGCGCGCGGCCTCCGCCCCACCCGATCCCCGGCCCCGCCTCCACCTCCGCCTGAGCGCAGCCTCCGCCCCTAGCCCAGTGCTGGTCCCGCCTCCGCCTGCACGCGGTCTCCGCCCCCAGCCGGGTCCCTAGCCCCGCCTCCTTGCGGTCTCCGCCCCTAGCCGGGTCCCCAGCCCCGCCTCCTTGCGGTCTCCGCCCCTAGCCGGGTCCCCAGCCCCGCCTCCTTGCGGCCTCGGCCTGTGCGCCTCTGCCCCCAGCCCGGTCTCCGGCCCCACCTCCACCCGCAAGCGGCCTCCGCCCCCAGTCCAATCTCCGGCCCCGCCTCCGCCTGCACGCGGTCTCCGTCCCCTGCCGGGTCCCCGGCCCCGCCTGAGTCCCCGGAGAGTCCGGGCCGGCTCTCCGCCGCTGCCGAGCCCCGCCTCGGCCTCTCCGCCGCCGCCTCGCGTTCCTGGGCTGGGGCTCACGGCTGGATGCTTTCCTTGTAGAGCAGCTTTCCGTGAGGGCCGCCGGGTGCTCGCCCTTTCCCTCCAGTTGCTCAGCCTCCATCCCACAAGTTAAGTTAGGAGAGCTTTTCCACGGAGAACTACAACCCAAATTCGGAGGAATCACTAAAAACCCTTGATTGGGGGGGGGGGATGTTTAAGCAAGCTTGTTCACTTTACGAACTACAAGTATTTCTGAATCGTGCACACTTCAAGAGTTATGCAGGTGTAGAAGCTATGCAGAAATGGGGGGCAGGGAGGGGGGATGCGGGAAAAGGGAAAAAGGGCTTTGGGTAACATGCTCGTTTTGTTGCCTGCCTAGGCCAGTGCCCTTTCCTAATTTTGGTGTACACATAGATAATGGCTATTAGGAAAATTATTATTAGACTTGATTTTTTTTTACTTGTAGCCCAAAAAAAGACAATATTGTTCCTATAGGTGTGAAATATGTATGTTAACTTTTCTCTTGCTGAGATGGTTAGGCACTTTTTGTAGAAAGAAATTTCACAAAATAGAAAACTTTTATAAAGTAAAAAAAAAGTTTCTGAAGTTCTATACTGCTTGTTTTATTTAAGAAAGCATTCTTACCTGAATCTTATAAAGACCATATGAAATCTACGAAAAGTTCTCATAGGTTCAGTGAGTTAACATTGTTCATAGTCTTTTATGTAAGGTAAAAGGAGCGAGTTTTGCCTAAAAGTCAAATCGATAAATTCCATATAACTGTACAATACCATTTATAACCATATAATTTTTTTAACAAATTTCAAATTTTTAGCTGGGTGCCCATGGCTCACACTAGTAATCTTAGTTACTCTGGAGACTGAGATCCAGAGGACCACAGTCCACAACCAGCTTAAGTAGAAAAGTTAAGAGATTACAAAAAGCACAGTTGGTATGGTTCGAATGGTAGAGCTCCAGCTGTGCAAAAAACCCCAACTCTGGCAATAATGATTTTCAAAATAGAAAAATTAATAAATAGTACTTTGTAAGTTGCACACATTATAGTGGATCAAATACTGTTTTAAATTGCAGATATCCAGATCTTTGGAGCCAGGGCAATGTTAAAACTCCTCCATGTTAAGCAGAAGAACAGATTAAGACTGTGTATCAGAAGAAACCCATATTGTTGGTACCCACTGTGGCTCTTCCTGAGCATTTTGTATGGCAGACAACAACTGGGCACATGCATCTTGCAAGTTGTCATTCACAATGACATGATCAAAGAACTGACCAAACTGAATCTCCATCTTTTGGGCTATCTCTCCCATTTCTTGTAGGTCTTCATCCTTCAGGAGAAATAAAATAGAGATGCCAAGGACTTAGCGAGACAAATGGAAAAGTAACCCAGTCTGTTGTGCTTGCACATTCAGGTGTGAAGCTTGTTATAAGAGCAGTTTGGTCAGCCCCAAAGTGCACACTTGTAATCCTAGCTACTCAGGTGGCTTGAGACTTGGAGGATCTCCATTTGAAGCCAGATTGGGCAGAGAAATTTTGGAGACTCCACCTCTTAGTAACTAGCATGGAAGTATACTTCCATGGCCCTGAATTCAAGCTCATTGTCCAGAATGAGAACAAAAACAACAAAATGTAAGTCAAATATATTTCATTTTTAAACAGGGTCTCCTCTGTAGCTGAAGCTGACCTGGAAATTGTGAGCCTCCTGCCTTTGCCTCTGAGTTCTGGAATTATGAGTATGTACCACAAAGCACAGCTAAACAGCTTCTATTAAACTACAACTTAAATTTCAACCTTTAATCTTTCTCCATGTGTCTCTGATCAGTTTTGTAAGATTTGTAATAGTTTGTATAATGGTCTGTCGTTACCTACACACTTGAAGCTCTCAACCACGTATAGCATAAAGCCAAAGGAAAAAATCACCAGCTTAAATAAAACAATTCCAGATGAGCATATTAATTAATCTGATTAGGAATGACATTATTTGGCAGATAGCAAATAGCTGGTGTGATAGAGTTATCATTAGAGACAAAATTACATTATTTAAGTTCCTGTGAAAATAATTTTTAAGTCAAACCATTCATTGAGATGTTTTTAGGGAGAGAGTGAAAGAAGCAGTGCGGTAGACAATGAGATCCACGGTCCTTAGCTCAGCCCAATCTGATCTGGATTTCCCCAGCCTGGCCAGCATGAAAGCAATACGATGATTTTGTCCTTTATCTACCTTGAACTTCATGTCCACAAAGTAGTCGGTAATAATCTTCGCATTTTTCCGAGATTGTTTCATACAACTCAGATTAGATGGCTTTATAAATATGACATAGGGCTTCAGTTCATTAGTCCGAGCCACTTGAATATCCTACAGGAAAATATTAAATATTCATTTAAAAGCAGAAGTACTACCTAGAGTCATCATGAATGTTCTCAAATTTTCTAAAGCCAGAAATGAGCAGTTGCATTTTAGTAAGAGTATATATAGTCTTATGTATCCCAACAATTCCATCATAAAAAATATTTTAATAATAAAAGGTAGGGCATGTAAAATTAGGCTTAAATCCAGGCTCTTTTTTTCTAGCTCTAATTATTAAAATCTAACTAGCAAATAAGTCCTATCCATAACATAAACTTTCTGAGAGGAGGAACTCCAGTGCATAATACCTTACAACAAAGGCAAAACTAGAAACTTAAGAAACAACTCTAGGGCTGGGAAGGTGGCTCAGTGGTAGAGCGCTTGCCTTGCATGCACAAGGCCCTGGGTTCGATTCCTCAGCACCACATAAGCAAAAAGAAAAAAGCCAGAAGTGGCGCTGTGGCTCAAGTGGTAGAGTGCTAGCCTTGAGCTGAAGAGCTGAGGGACAGCGCCCAGGCCCAGAGTTCAAGCCCCATGACCAGACCCAAAAAAAAAAAAGATAACTCTATTCCACTCCCACTGCCCTCTCTTTCTGCCATTACTTCACATTAGATACTACTGCCATGTTCACACTGATCATAGGCCTTGACCCAAGGAGAACATAGCTCTCTTCTTACAATTCCCTTTAGCACACAAAGTATACATTTTGAATGACTAAAGAACATTGATCATAAAAACTGGGCCTAGCTGAGCACTAGTGGCTCATGCCTATTATCCTAGCTACTCAGGAGGAGGCTGAGATCTGAGAATCGAGGTTCAAAGCCAGCTGCTGCAGGAAAGTCCATGAAACTGTTATCAGCAATTAACCACCAGAAAACTGGAAATGGCGCTGTGGCTCAAAATGGTAGAGCACCTAGTTCTGGTTTTGTGTCTGAGGAGCAGACTCCCTCACCAACTCAAAACAAAATGTTAGCAACTGACACTTCAAGTAACAACCTGGCTCTGGGAAGTGAGAAGTGGTCTTATTCTTCAAAAGGTTACAATACAATATCTTGGCACATGAACAACATAGGTTGACATGTACTCATGACTAGGAAGAGATGAGAAACATTCCACCACAGACCCACCTGAGGCTCCAAGTCCATGACACAGATCTTTCCTTTATCCAGGACTGCCTGAACAGCATCCACACTAGTACCATACAGGTGGCCTTTGTACTCACCATACTCCAGCATCCTGCCAGGATGGAACCAAAGAAACAAAAATTCTTTCAACAAGTGAAATATTAATCATAGTTACATGAAGGCAAACTGAATTTAAATAGACTTTGCTGGTATAAATGGATATTCAGCAGTAGAAACAAATATATTGGGAGACCTAAGACATAGCTACTTCCTTAAATCCTCTTAAGCTTGCAGCTCAATTCTGCTCCCTTTCCAAACTCAATGAATTGTTATACCAGTGTAGTTATGCTTCTTGCATAACTCTCCAGAAAGAAGAGGAATTAAACCACCACCAGGAGCTTTAGAAAATCCATAAAAATGGAGGTTATTTTGTAGGTCAAATAACCTTAGGCAAAAATTAGCTTTTCTACTAGCCCTTACCTGTGACTATATATGAGGCTTTCAAATTCTTCCTTTGACACATAGTGATACTCACGTCCATTCACTTCATAACTCTTTGGGGAACGAGTAGTGTCTGTCAAAAAAAAGGGGGGATAATGAAAAGTTTCAGTGTCTTCAAAATGTTTAGACTTGTTACCAATATGCATTTGGATGAAGAAGCCCAATCAGAACAAATAAATGAATCCATACACAGGTAAATGCTAGGACCAAAAAGTGGAATACTGAATTGATTATAAGAAAGTGGAAGTTATCAAAATCAGTCAATCTGTAAATCTTCATTGATTGTTCATAGTGTGGAAACAAATGTTTTCAA